AGCGGGCGGTCAGGGGAGGTCTGCCGCGCCCTGGGGGTCAGCTCCGGGGCAGGCGGGAATCGAACTCATGTGGAAGTGGCTTAGGCTTCTCAGTGCTGGGCTCTAACCCGCTGTGCCACCAGGGAGGGCCCGAATGGCCTCATTTTAACTTGACCAATCTGTAAAGACCCTATTTCCAAGTAAGGTCACCTCCTAAGGAACCGATGGTTCTTCAACGCTTCTCTTTTGGAGGGGCCCCATTGAACCCATGGCCGTAACTCTCAAGATGGGTGTGCAGATTTCTTTGGGGAAGGGAGCAAATCATCAAGGGGTGACAAGGAGGGCTTCCCAGGGGAAACAAGCCGGGAAAAGGCTGTGGAGAAAGGCAGCTCTCCTGGAGGAGTGGAGAAGGGACCCCAGTCCTGGCTGTGCCGGTGAAAGAGACCGTAGTTCTAGAGGCTGGAGCCCGGGGCACCAGTGGTGGTGAGGAGAGCCTGGGTCAGTCCAGCACCGGAGCATCCCCAGGGACTCTGTGCCTCGTGCTGAAAAATCAGGAACCAGAGAGAGGTTTCCACAAAAGTCACCTTCGGAATCTGTCCTTAATCTCAAAGTGACACCTTTAAACATGGAATTTAAGTGAGACTTTTGGGGACTCAGGCTCTAATTTATTACAATTCTAAGTCCAATCATCTTTAAGAAGAGGAACATTTTATGTTTGTTTTTGGAGGGGCCAGGAGTTACTGAGAGTGAGTGAGAGTAGTCGAAGGCCAGCGCCTCGGGCGGCGCCCCCGGGAAGAGGCCTCAGACAGAGGTTCGCCTGTGGGAGTGAGTGGGAGGCTCAGCTGAAGCCCCCGGGCAGGCGGGCTGCGGTATGGCCAGGCCTGGGGCTCTCGGGAGCTGGGACGGCCCAGGCTGGCGTGGACAGACGACGGGTGTGAGCCTGAAAGGATCAGTCCCCCCTCGGAGGCTGCCCTCACAGAAGGCTGTGGCTTCAGGCAGTTCTGACGGGGAGGTGGCAAGGACTCACCTCATGTGGTCTTACAAAACCAGACACTGGCATGAACTGTGTCTAATAAGCTCAAGCCAGAGCCCTAAAACAATTGCGCACCCAGTTGTGGGCAGCAGACTCGCTCTGCAGTCCTGCTCCCCACCTGAGGTCTGGCTGGAATCACCTGCTCCAAGCTACCGGCCTCTTTCGCCTTTGGTCTTTTGGGAAAAGCCAGCCCCACCCTGAGACTCTCTGCTCCAAATCCCTCCATCATCAGGAAACCTCCAAACAGTGCATTTGATGCTTAGGGAACCCCCGAGTTCCTCCTTGCCCAAGGAGGAAGTCTATCTTCCTGTGAAAACCTCTTGGCTGAAAAGGCTTTCTGTGAATTCCCACCCCAAGGACCTGGAGCTCACCTCGCCCCGCCGCCCTGCAGCAATTCCCCTCGGAATTGCTGCTTTTTAGATGGGAAGCTTCTTGCAAAGCTGCTCTGGCCACTGAACACACGTGGTGTTCAATCGCGCCTCAGACCTGAACAGAGCCGCAGGCCCCGTCTGGCCTGGCGACACCCTCCCATGTCCGCCTGCCCCTCACATGCCCGCGGAACCTCGCCTGAGCATCTCTTTTCATTTAGAAATTATGTCAAACTTTAAAAAATAGATGAAACCATTCAGGGGCCTGTCACCTCCATCGGATTCTCCAGGTGTTCAGAGGTGTCACTTGCCATGTTTCATCGCTGTATTGCTTCACACACACACACACACACAATGTGCTTTATCGTTATTCTTTGCTTTAATTTTGTTTGAAAGCAAGCGGCAGAATACCGCTTCGTCACCCAAAATACCCCAGTGTTTATTTTCCCCACGCGACGACACTCTCCCACAGAGACACACCAGCCGTCTAAATCAGGCAGGCGGTGTTTCTGTCACACCACCATCCAAAACGCAGGCTCGGTGCAGATTTCACCAACTGTTCCCGCCGCGTCGGCTTTGCGTCTCTGGTCCAGAGACACACACGGCATTAGTTGCCGGAGCTCTCTGGTCTCCTCCAGCTGGATGAGCTCCCGGTCTGAAGGAGCATCCCCAAGTGACACTCTTGAGCCCAGAGAAGCCCCTCAGCCACGGTCCCGTGCGCGGCTGGGACGTGAAGGAAGGTCTCAGGGCCTGGGGCAGCTGAGGGGAAGAGGAGGCCGGTGGGCGGCCGGTGCTGAGTGGACCGGTGACTGAGGCACGGGCTGGTGAGTTTGCTGGCCGCACTGACCGTGAGGCCCATGACAAATAAAACATGTCACATCCTGACTGATGATTATCTCACAAGTGCCTGGAGGGAGAACAGCTGAGAGCCCACCTACCAGGGGAGCGAAGAAAGCCGTCTGCACATGTCGGTAGGGAGTCCCACCCAGACAAGCTAGAGGTTGCACTCCTTCTCCCCGCCTCTGCTGTTCTCCTCACTGCCTTCGGGAAGCCAGGTGATAGTCTCTTTTCCCAAACCGGCTCCCTCACCTGCGAGTCTCTCATGAAGCCTTGCTTTGTCCAGCTATGCCCCATGCCGCTGGTGAATTAATCCCCTGGAAGGCAAAGGACCCCTTCTGTGGAGTAACAGAGTGGTGCTGGGATATTCTTGGACATCAAGGTGTGTTCTGCTTATCTCTTTTACTCCTAGTGATGTTAGCCTCGATGACCAGGTCATTTGCTGGGTTTTCCTTTGTACTTGATTAGTATCCTAGGGGAGATACACTAAGACTACTATTGAGTGAAATCAAGGGTGTCAGGGACCCAAACTGTTAATGAGGGAACCCCACACTGCCTGTTCTAAGGGTCCATGCCACCCATACACATCAAAGAAAACAGACTGTTGGTGTTCGCAAGTATTTTTAACTGGTGGGAAGTTCAAAGGGCATAAAGAGAGAGAAGAGAAAGGATTTCAAATAATAAACCCTTACCTCACACCATATAAAAAATTAATTCAAGATGAATCACCAGTCTAAATGCAAAAATTGAAACTATCAAAACAGAAAATATCTAAAGACCTGGAGACAGGTAAAGACTTCTTTGGCTGCAGAAAGCGCTCATCATGAAAGAAGTTTTGATAAACTAGATGATATCAAAAGACACTGATTATAGTCCCATAGTATGGACTCAGGGAAAGCATAAAACATAGAAGTAGTCCTTTCATCTAAAATATATAAAGATTTCCTAGAACTCAGTAATAAATATATGCACACGGACAAAGAATCCAACATATACTTCACAAATGAAAGATACGTGAGTAGCCAATAACAGATGAAAACATGCTCAATATTGATAGTCATCGGGGAAATGCAAATTAAAAGATGCAATGAGATTTAGAACAACTCATCACACCAAATGCTGGTGAAGATGGAGCCTCACAGATATCTCCTATATGAGAGACAAAATGGAATAACTGTGGAAGTTTCTTACAAAGTTAAATATATACCTTTGAGCCTGTCATTCCATTCCGACATATTTACCCAAAGAAAATGACAGCATTATTTACGTATTATACATAACATATGTACAAAAGACATATATAGTAATGCTTATGGAAATTACATCTGCAGTAGTCAAAAAGAAGAAGTAGCCAGGTATCTAGTCACAGGGAAATAAATAAATATATTGAAATTCATTCATAAAGTAGAATATCACTCACCAGTAAAAAGGAACAAGTTACCGGTGAGTATCTATTTAATAGCATCTAAGCCCAGATACTTTAAGTGATAAAACTAGACACCAAATAACGTCTGAATGATTCCGCTTCCATGATGTCCTAAAGGACACAAAGCTGACTTAAGTAGGAAGCAAAATTGGTTGCCTGGAGTGGCAGATGGGAAGGGGCCGTGGGGGCTGACTGAGAGGGGCAGAAAGGGAACTTTCTGGGGGTCCAGAAAAGGTCTGTGTCTGAATTGCTGCAAGTGCTGTTCTGGTGGATGCGTGTGTGAGAAAGACCCCCTCTGGGCAGCCCTGGCCCCACCCCCTCTGGGCAGCCCCTGGCCCCGCCCCCTCTGGGCAGCCCTGGCCCCGCCCCCTCTGGGCAGCCCTGGTCCCGCCCCCTCTGGGCAGCCCTGGCCCCGCCCCCTCTG